GAAGAAAAAAAGAGAAAAAGACCAAGCCGGTCATTTTCCTCTGCGGCACCACTCGACGCACGCCGTGGTGTTCATTCACCTCACCTCACTTGCCTCGGCTGCCCTCGTACTGCGTATTGCTTGCTACTCTGTACATCTCATCTCTCACGTACTCCGTATCCTGCAATATTTCGCTTCTCGCCGTCTCTCAGCCAACACGTTGCTCGCCGAGCATTTAGTTGCCAATTACGCCGTAGCTATTCCACATCTGCGTTGTCGTGTCTCATGTCTAGTCGAGACTTGACCCCGCCTTTTCCCCGACAGCCACGAGTCCACGACCTGCGGGGGGAGGAAAGGAGGAAATGCGAGACGTCGAGTCAACCGGACTTTCCAAACATCCAACATTTGACGCCGGCACACGCCGACCTGCATACAGCCAACACATTGTGCGGCCACCAAAAAAAAAAAGACCCGCGACCCGGAATCAACCCACCTACCGTCAGCGCACATAGGCCCATCTTGTGGCTGGCTCGGCCTCAACCGACAGACAGTCGTGGACGGACGTGGCAGGATATCGACGCTGGGCGGCCCTCTCGACCTGATCGGACTCAATCATCCTCGCGACGCAGGAACAAGTGTTGCAGGCGAAACCCGGCGAGGCCAATCGTACCCCCCTCCTGAGCCTTGCGCTCTCTCGTCTCTGCTCCGTTTTACAGCTTCCTCGAATGTGCCACTGAAACGACCAGTGTCGTGGCAGAAGACGCAGGCAAGCTTCCACGAATCCGAATTCAGCTGATATCGTTTTCCGACGTCCACCATGCCTTCGACTGCCAGCTCTCCGTCACCTCTCCAGGCTCATCATCCTCATCCACGTCCAGCACCGCTGCCGCCGTCCTTGACCGGCCCATCGACGCGCCGAAGCAGCGAGACTCGACGGGATCCTCTCCCCTTCTCCATGACACGGCCCCTTCGGCCAAATCCCACGTCAACTAGCGTGGCACCCTCAACAGCCGAGGGAAGGGCCATCCCCGTGGATGACACCACCGCCGAGCATCGGACGTCGGCGTTGCGGGAACTCAACAGCCACTATCCCAGCCGACACCGATACGCCAAGTCAACCGGAGCTAAGTCAAGCACCTACTCTGAACCCGTCATTGTCCGCAGTTACTACTCGCCTGCCCCAAGCCGGCACGATAGTTCCGCTCGACGACGCCGACTTGGTCGTGGCGGGGCCGGGTCCGAGGTTGGTGGGCCAGTGGCCGGTGCGACCCGGGCTCTTCCATTCTCCGGCAGGGTCTCTTTGGCCAAGAATGGCATGCTGAACACAATGGCCAGAGTATATAATGGGAAAAACACAACGGTGGAGGCTCAGCAGGACACTCGTCTACCTCCGGTAGAAGCCTTTAGCTTCAAGAGCTTCATGGCAAATGTGGAAACACATGCCGGCACAGGCGACATAAACTCCGATCTGGACAGGATAGCCGAGATTTGTGCCCGATCACGGTACTCACTGAGCAATCAGTATGAGGTCCACTACGCCCCTCACGGATCGGGCGTGTCGTTTCTCGCGTCTCCTCAGAGCCAAGAGCCGCGGGGTCCTACTCTGCGGGCAGTGTCATCAGATGACGAGCGTGATATGAGAGACACGGCACGACGAAAAAGGCGAGCTGCTAGGAGAGACAGTAGGGCAATGGGTACGCTGGAGACCATCATGTCGTCAAGCCGCTCGTCGGACGAGGAGGCGTCAAAGAAGAAGTCGGCTTCGGACCTTGCCAACGAGGTTCGGGGACGGAGAGCCAAGAAGGGATCAGGCCAGTCGTCTCCGACTCTGACAACATCGTTACACAGAGAGCAGGACCCTTCCAGTTTGGCGAACGGAGAGCCGCAGCCAAGGACACGAGCAAGACGGCCATCGACGTCATTAGCTTTGATAGATGGCTCGCGACAGAGCGGGACGCCCGAGGCAACACCTCGGACATCAGCTACCGCTTTGATAAGCGAACCTGCATTTCCGCGTGCCTCAGATAGCCAATTGGAGACCAAGACTGCCGCGGCGAGCGCAGCGCCGCAACGTCTTTCAGGAAACAAGCCATCGCCGCGACCGGACAGGCTGGAGTGGCACATGGCACGAGGATCGATCTCCTGCACTCGAGGTGGCGCACCTAGTGCCAGCGTCCTGTCAACACTCGTCGGCTTGCTACCGTGGGTGTCGAATTCATCTCAGTCTAAAGGTCGAGCCGAAGGTAGTCTACGAGACCTTTTGAAAACCACCGAAGCCAAGGGAAAGAAGTTTGAACCAGCAGTGTAAGTAATACATTGACTCAAAGGGATGAGAAAGAGCTCGTGAGTGCGCCTGACTGTTGGAAAAATTGCGACGAATGGGGGTTCGCACCATACAATTTACAGACGGAAATGGAAGTTGTGAGCAAGGGAAGAGGCCTTTTGCTGCTTATGACAGTTTGATGAAGCGACGATTTGATGCAGAACCGGTGGGCCGGGCTTTGTTTGTGTTTCAAATAGACCGGGTACCAGTGGACACTGAGACTATGATGAATGGACAGACTTGTCTGCAGGAGAGAAGTTGGAAGTGGGCGGCAGGAAAGGCAAAGCCGTGGTGTGATGGTTTACCCGGAACGACATGCATGCCAGTCGTCCCTATCTACGAGACGGCTTGTCTGTCTCTCACCCCTTTTTCGACGGCACGTCTCTGCTAATGGATCGCCTCGCTACCAGTCGGCAGAGCAAGTTGGCACGACACCAACGTATTCAATCATTGTGGTGATCAAGCCTTGCCAGAAACACAGCGAGCGTCGTGCGACGTTGACAGTCCAGCGTCCAGCCAACGACATCCATCACACAAGCCTTCTCGTGGCACACCAGACCAGACCTGTCGACAAGCACCACCAAGGAGAAGAAGGAAAAGAAAAAGAATTTCACAACAAAGTTGGCTGATCAACACGCCGCATCCGTCCACGACGCCGTCGACGACGACCGCGGCAGTGCCAAGCTCGTGCACCGGCTTCTTGCCCACGTGACCACGTCGACGTGACCCGGACGCGGCCGACGTTGGATGGCGACTTCATCAGGAGTTGAACGTCCACGGCCCCCAGCCCATCGGCATCAACGCCGTCACTCCAAGCCGGTCGGTGGACTTGTTGGCACAATTAAGTTGGCTCCGAGAGCCGCGAGTAGGAAAAAAGGGGGCTGTTGTATTCTTCCAAACCATACGGAGTAGCTTCCACTCCATCTCGTACACAGTCATGACACCCGAAAAGAACACGAGGAAGAAATCCCCCGCCGCCAAGTAGCAAGCGCTGGCTGAGAAGAAAGCGAAGAAGGAAAACAAATCCCAACTGAAATGTCTCAAAGTAACCACCCAATCAATCCGTCGCTTTCCTCGCGCTTCCCCACCCGCCCCATCCGTCCGAACCGTCAAGCCCCTTTTCCCACGCCCAACACGACGACGGAATGCCTGTGTTCTCTCCCTCGTCCCATCCTCCTCTTCGCGTCCCCGGCCGTCGCGTCGCCCTTGTCACCAGTGACCACTGCGCCGGCGACCGCGTGACGATTCCGTTAACCTTCTCTACCAGTGTGGCGGGGCGATGCCATTGTCGTAAAGAGCCGCGACTTTGCGCGGGTTGATGCGCGGAGCGGACAGCTGGTCCCTGATGGGGGCTGCCACGGCCACAGTAGCCAGGCAGGCGACGATGAAGCTGACGGCGTGCATTTTTTTTTATTTTTAATTCTCTGGTCGTCTTCTTCGTTTTTTTCAAAAAATCTTCTTTTCTCGTCTGCAACTTGTGTGTGTGTGGGAGAAACCGAGGGCGTGAGTGAGCGTGAAGCAAAAGATAGTCAGTCAGTCAGTTGCTGGGATGCCTTTGTTCTTGCGCGGCAACAGAAACCCTCTCTGGAGCCGGGGTCCTCATTCCTCTTTATACTCGAGCCGTCCGTCCGTCCGTCCGTCCGCCTGTCAGTCGACTCTCCTCGCCTCGCATTGCTGGGCTGGCCGGGAAAGAAGGGAACAAGGGCGCAAGGGCAAGGGCAAGGGCTCGATCTAGATGCCCTGGGCCCTCGTCCGCCGGGGACGGGCAGAAACAACGCTTTTCTCGTTGCGTGCGCATGCCAGTCGGGGCCCCGTCAGTAGCGGCCCCGCGCAAAAGCCAAACTGGCCGTCGTGATGCTATATTTGGTGCGCCTGGTTCAGTTGAGGAGTGAGACATTGGCTGCCACCGAGCCCGTCCGCAATTGTCTGAGACACCAGACACCAGACACCGCCTGGCCGAGTCTCCCCCTTGCTCTTGCTCTTGCTCCCCCTCGTCTGCAGGGGAAAAGGGAAAAGGGCAATCTCGCGTCCGCTCTGCTGAGAGGGGGTCGCGTCCTGGACTCGTGGCCCTCGCCGAGCTATTTATTGTCCGGTTGACACGGGCGCGGCGATAGATTTGTGCGCGGTTCGAAACGGACGCAATGAGATGCCGCTCCAATGCTGAATAGTCGCGCTTGCCGGGTCGTTGGACTGGCGACTTGTGATTCGGTGCCGTGGCCTGCCAGCATGCCAAGGTGTCTACATTGAGGGAGCATTTGAGCGTTTGATCTCGTTTGCTTCGTCAGGTTGTGCCAAACGTTCCATCGTCAGGGCAGTAGCCTCCCCCCCATCAACCCCATCTGCGCCCTTGATGCTCCGTCCCACGTACGTCGTACTTCGTCCATCCTTCAAATGACTGACATCCCAGTGGCGACAGGCGTATTTGTTTCACCTCGGCACGTCTAAGAATCGACCACACCGCCCAACAATGGTGCTGGTCCAACTTTCAAACTCGTCAATTATGCTAGATTACACCTACCTCGGACTCGCATTTGCCTACCAGCCCATATAGATATTCAACACCTGGAGAGAGAGAGAGAGAGAGAGAGAGAGAGAGAGAGTTCCAAGTAGCCCGTGACTCCGCTGTTCCAGACTATTCTGCCCCATCACATCTATGCTCTTTTCCTTTTGTATTTTTGCCAGGTATTTTCGCCGCCAACTATGCTTCCCTTGATTCGACATGCGCTCTCTTCGCCTCCCGTTCTCCGTCGCTGCCGTCCTCCGGCGCTCTTTTCTTCTCCTTTTCCCGAACGGGCTCCTTGGAAACTGCCTTTCGTGCTTCCTTTTCTCGACGGTCATTCTCTTTTCGCAACGCTTTTGACTCGAATTCGTGCCAATCTCCCTCAATTTCGGCCAGCCTGAATTCAACAGTCAGCCCATTACCTGAAAGGGATGTTCTGAAAAGGGGGAAACTGCTCATTGGAACAAGACCAAACTTACTCCGTGGCCTGCTTCGGCAACGGTTCTTCCGTGGCGAAATAAGCATGCTGCAAGGCTTCTGCAGCAGTTGGCCGCTTTGCAGGGTTGTATTGGAACATGGCAGACAGCAAGTCGAACGCCGCAGGAGTCAACTTCGAAATGTACTTGTCGGAAAAGACGCTCTTCCGCTTCACGGTCGGTCGGAGGAGTTCAAACCAAGCCATGTCAACCAGCCCGGGCCATTCTTGCCTGTTGGGCGTCCCCAAAACACTGTAAATCTTTTCCAGTTGACTCAGTTCCGTGCCGTCTCCGGGGAAAATGGCCGTCCTGTTGAAAATCTCAACCATGACACACGCCGCGCTCCACACATCCACTGCGGCCGTGTACTGCGTTTCTCCCAACAGCAACTCAGGAGACCGGTACCAAATGGTGATGACACGGTTTGTGTAATCCAGTTGGTGCCGCTTCGCATAGAAGCGAGCAAGTCCAAAGTCGGCCAGTTTGAGAACTCCGGTATTGCTGACCAGGATGTTTGCGGCCTTGATATCTCGATGAAGGACACCTCGGGTGTGGAGGTAGTCCAATCCTTCAAACAGCTGTCTGGCCAGATCCTTCTTTTGCGCAGGTGCCAGCTTGAACGTTGGGTGGTTCAAAAGACCAGTCAGGTCGTGTGACAGGTACTCGAATACCATGAAGCATTCGTTCTTCTCAACCATGACCTCCTGAAGATTGACGATGTTCGAGTGTCTCAGCGACTGCAGAAGTTTGATTTCTCGGACTGCAGTGACGGGGAAACCGTCTCGCTCACCCTCCATACGGATGCGTTTCAGAGCGACCAACCCTCTGGTGTACACATTAAGGCCCTTGAACACTTTGCCATACGTCCCAGATCCAACCACGGATTCGTTGCCAGGCTTTCGGTAAAATACTGACTCGGATTCAACCAAACCTGTCTCCAATGACGGACGTGGCTTCGCTCGTCGCATAGTTTTCTTGACCTTGCGCACCTTGGGGGCCATTTTGGGGCCATCTGGAGGCGGGTTCCTAAAGTCCGCCCGTTGCCTTGCCGACGCAGGCTCCGTAGGCGCCGAGCGAGGAGGCTCCCTCTCGGTGGTGATTTCTTTCGAGTTAACATCTCTCTTTGGAGGTGCATTAAACTTTTGTGAAATCTCCGGCTTTGGTGCTGTTGGCGTGGGCTTTGAAGAAGCCTTGAAAGCAAAGCTGAACTTGCCCGAGGCATTGGACTGCGCGGAGCCAGGACCTGTTGGCGTTGGTCGGGATGGAGCTGCTTGTGGTGCGTCAGCTCCTGAACTCGGCTTCGATGACCTGCTGTCTCTACCGGCATCCTCCTCCGCCACTTTGGATCCATCGTCTTCCCTTGGGCCGGTAGCAGTGCTGTAACGCCTGGTCCCTTGCTCATCTGCAGGTTGAGGATGTGGTTTCGACGTTGAGTCTGAGCTGACTGAGCCCCAAGCTTTGGTGTTTGGCCCTCTAAATCCCCCCCTAGCTTGAAAGGGACCGTTTCGTTGGCCATTTCCTTGTGATCCCGGACCGCCTCGATAGTTTCCCGCGCCATACGAGTTCATCGGACCCGACGGCGCCCCATAAGGAGGGGACCGTGGGGGGTGAGAGTGATAATGGTCTGACGGGCCACTCGGTGGGCCATATTGGCCCGGGCCATGATGGTATGGAGGCGGGTGTTGGCTATACAGTATTAGTATTGATGGTAAAAGCATTAGTACGGGAAAGGGTCAGGAACTCACTGCTCAGATGTATATTGTCCACTCCAACCTGACCGCCCTGGTCCATAAGGAGAGGTAGACTGTGAGTTATGGAAAGAGCCGGCACGTTGAGGAGACTGTGAGTAGCCTCTTGAATCGGTTCCGTAATGAGGCTTGTGACTGTACATGGAATTGTACCCTCCTCGGTAGCTGCTTCGAGATGCCATATCGTCGTCTATGTCGTAGCGAGAAGAGTAATGCAGCTCTGCAGCGTCTCCTTGATGTCTGATTTCTCGATGGGGTCTAGGGGACCGTGGTGGCGCCTCTCTCTGGAGTCTAGAGTCTCTACCACTAGCCGAAGCGCCGCGGGGCTCGGCTGCGGGAAGATGGCTAGAGAGAGACGTGGTGTGATGGCGGCGAGAAGAATCGTGTCGACGACTTCCACTAGGAGATGGACTCCGTGATACTGGCCGGCGGTCCTTGGACCTATATTCCCTAGATCTGGATCTGGGCCTGCCAGAGCTTTTGGACGGCCGGGATCGTGACACGGACTCGTGCCTGGACCGCGAGCGAGGCTTGAGAGATGGCTTGCGTTTCGATCGGGAGCTTTGAGACGGAGAAGGGGAGCGGCGAGAACGAGAGTGACGACCGGGAGATCTTGACCGATGGCGATGGTGATGTTGATGGCGTTCGTGAGAGGAGCGGCGTCTATGCCTTCTCGACAGCGAATCTGGGGAACGGTCTCGAGAAAGACGTCGTAACGTTTCGTGATCCCGCTTCGAACGTTTTCTGCGAGGCGATTCAGCCGAGCGGCTTCGTCCCCTGTGCCTTTTGGCCGAGGAAGATGGAGACACCGGGGCGACTCGTTCACGGCTACGACTTCGACGACGTTCGTCGTCAGCGTCTCGATGGCGTGCCTTTTGCGCTCGATAGCGCGGAATGAGATCCTCTACTTCGGGAACTCGACGCGTAGACTCGGTTCGACGATGTCGCGAGCGGTCTCTGCTGCGATCGCGAGAGCGACGACGGTCGTCTCTGGACGAGGCGTGACCGTGCCTCGTGCTAGAATGGCGATACCGAGACTCGTTGCTTGGGCTGCGACGGACCGCCCTGGGAGGAGACCCTGGCCGATCCGAGGATGGTACTCCTCTACCAGTTCGAGCCCGCTCTCCGTGATGGCTTCCTCCAGAATCTCTCATGGCAACATGCCGACTTCCACACGGATGGATTGGCGGAATGCCCATGGCGGCGAGTGCCCCGGTTGAGTTTTAGTGCCGTGAGTAATAAATCGCCGCACCTTACCCGAGCGACAGGGGATCCTCCCACCCGCCCTGGCAGCTTGTTGCAAGCCCGCTTGAATGAGATGCGATCACTCTTCTCGCTCACTGAGAGCCGGAGAAGAAAAAAAAGCACGTCGTCAAGCATAATGAAGCTGGCAGGCAATTAATGGCCAGTTTGCTGCAGTTTCCTCCCGCTTGCCGTGTTGGGGCCGATGGCAAACCAAACAGTCGTCAGAGCCCTTGGAGCTGCTTTTTCGACGTCCTTGTTCCCCGCATCGCCGGACCAGCTTCAACTTCATCCACCAACACCAACAGCCAGCGCGGTTCTGCCCATCTTGAATAGACCCTGAACCAATCCGAGCATCGTTCGAGAGTTTTGCCTATGTGCCCGCTACCATGGATCCCCAACCTGCAGCCAGCGTATTTTGCCAACCCGCTGTTGCCGTCCCACGGAAACTTTGTCTCACAACATCACCGCCTCGCCACTGCTCTTACAGCGGCGGACACTGCAGAACTACATACTAATCCTCACGGATAATTTACGAAGCGTCTCCCATCTGTCTGTTCAACAATATCTCACAGGAGCGTAGCTGTGCAAAATCTTGAACTTTTCCAGTGACAGATCATTCAATTAGTCGCGGTCAAGCCTTCCATCAGAACGGGTAGATCGACGACCGTTGTTCCGACACCATAGCGCAGCGATACTCGTTGCCCTCTCCAATGAAATGGTTTTCAACCACCTCTATATGGTGTGTCAGCCCGAGTGCAAGTATGGCATGTCGATGTTGGCCATTCACAACGGATATTTCATAGGCCAGTGAATTGGACAGGCTGAGGTGTGGTAGCTCGCAGAGTTTGAGGTAACAGGAAAAACATATATGCTGTCCGTGGTGCGTCTGGCGTAGCTTGTACAAGGCCCAGGCCGATGAAGACGGGTTGCCTGGCTCCGACCGAGATGGTAGCGCAGGTTGTGCCGTAGGACATCTTTCATTACAAAAGATGTACCGTTCCTCTCCCCGCCACCTGGCACACGGTAGGCAGCCTTTGATCGTCCCATGGTTCTTCCGAGGCCAGATTCAGACGGTCAGTCTCTAAACAATGACTCACGTCACGTCATGGCCAGTGTCGCGACATATATCAGCTCTTTCCACCACAAGCGAAATTTTGCCTCGAAGCGACAACAGGCGTACTCTGACGACATTTGTCGACGGCGATGGCGTTATCCGCATGAGCTGCCAAGTCCTGAACGGGTTTCAACGTTGTTGCATCTCGGATACGATGTCGTTTCTGGTTGCAAAATGATAGTCAGGGCCCCTAGGGCCACTCTTGGCTGGGCGTCATCTCGTTACCGCATTTTCGATGAATCCGTCGAGAGTCTAATCGGGCGCCACTCTTACAGCTTGAGAATATGCCAGCATGTTAGTATGACTAGGCATGTTGCTGCAACGTAGCCGACTCTGCGGTAAGAAACCCGCGTTTGATGGAGTTTGGGCGTCATTAAAGGGTGCTGCGACTGTGTGCAAACAAGAATGAAACACATGGGGTCTGGGCCGGTATCACGTGACTACCCAAACGATGGGCCGGAGCGGCTGCCGCTATAATGCCGATGGCCAATGGCAGGGCCACGCATTGCCTCGGCTGTCCACAGAAGAGTCGGGAGGATCGCCCATTACCAAGATTCCTCCCAAGAACCAGTCAGTCCATTGATTGGTACTGGTTCGCATTGGAAAGCAAAATGATGGCGCCCGGAAGCGTGTGAATAGTAGAATCATCTAAGCTTTTCTCTTTTGCAACCCGTGCTGTTTCCTCAGGGAGGGCCTCCAGAGGACAGAGAAGCGGCAGGTGAAGAGACCCGAGCCCGCAATCGCCTTGTGCCTGTTGAACCTCACCTCCCTACAAACCTAGGCACTACTACTACGTAGGGAAAGAAGAAGAAGAAAAAAGAAGTCTGGTATGTCTTGCCACCTTGAGAATGCTTTGTTTACGCGTGCTCTACACTCTCCGATTCTCCATGCGGCAATGCTGTCGCCGCTTAACGAATTTCCGATTTTAAACATGTAAGTTTCGATTTATGGAATAATACATTTTGCTAATTTCAATGCAATTAAGCGACCTCTGGCTCTCCGCCCCAAGCAGCACGTCTGTGTATCACAGGATCTGTCGCGGCATTGCTGGACTTCCATTTCGCGAACCTGAGCACACTCAATTTTGGTAATCAGGCATTTACGATGGCCATGGAGTGGTTTGGCCACGCCAAGGTTGAGTTCACGCACGCTCCTGCACCGCGAGCGATGCGGGCAAAGGACGGCAAGAAGACAGACTTGCTCAAGATTGTTGAGGATTCAACGCCTCCGTGCCGCTTGAACCCGTTGTTGTTCAACGGCCACATCCAGACAATGTGGACAGCTACCAAACCCAGTGGGCCTCCAGTCTATTATCGCCGCAGGATATTCGACGCCGACCACAAGACGTACAAAGGCACATTTGCCGTGGATTTTGCTGTGCAGCCGTTTGAAGAAGTGGACGAGACATTACCCAGGAGAACCGCTTACTACACTGACGAGGAATTCGACAATATTGGCTCAGATGATTGCAAGCCTATGCTGGTCGTCTTGCACGGCTTGTCGGGCGGCTCATTCGAGGTATACCTGAGACATACCATTGCGCCTTTGCTAGGAGCTGGAGGTTGGGAGGTATGTGTGGTGAATTCGAGGGGTTGTGCGAGAAGCAACATCACCAGTGGCGTTCTTTACAACGCTCGCGCTACCTGGGATTGCAGACAGGTTCGTGGCATGCCCAGTATGTCCTGAGAAGTGTCCTCTGACCTCATCTAGACTGTCAAATGGTTGAAGAAAACGTTTCCAAACCGGCCGCTATTTGGTCTCGGATTTTCCTTGGGAGCCAACATGCTAACCAATGTAAGTCCTCAGCCACGAATAGTAGGGCGATTCGGCGTTGACCAAAAGCAGTACTGCGGCGAGGAAGGTGAAGACTGTATTTTAAAGGGAGCTGTCGTTTGCTCCAACCCCTTCAATTTGGAAATCACAAGCAAAATACTGCAAAATCGATTCATCGGTAGAGAGGTCTATTTACGAGCCATGGGATGTAGGCATTACATGATTTCCGCTGCTCTTCTTCGGATGAGTCTAACCGTGCTGCTAGTTGCTATGAGGAACTTGATCACCACACACAAAGAAGCCTTGAAGAAGTATACTGACCTTGATCTACCCACTGTTGAAAAAGTCACATACTTGCATGATTTCGACCGCGAGGTTCAGTGTGTAGTGCCCATTCCAGAAATTTTTGGTTAGTTAGTAACCAGGCCTAGGTGTCCGACATGGGGATATCCTACCGAAGATGCATATTACCGCGATGCATCTTCGACAGATGCTGTTTTAAACATCAGGATTCCGTTCATTGCTGTACAGGCAACGGATGACCCTGTGAGGAAGCAGAAGCATTGAAGAGAGTTCTGGATTCTAACCATTCAATAGATTGCTGTGAAAGAAGCCCTTCCGTTTGCAGAATTCAGACGGAACCCTAATACTGTCATGATTACCACATCCATGGGAGGTCATCTGTGCTGGTTTGAGATGGGCGGCAGCCGATGGCACCCCAAGCCGGTGTGTTCACTTTGAGATGACGCGTCACTTTTGGTTTGGCTAATTCCATGACCTAGGTCTGCAACTTCCTGAATCACCTTGCGTTCAAAATAGACTTGGACAGCATTACGCCGTCCAAAACACCCACACGCGAAGATCCAAAGCATGGTGCGGACTACAACCCAATGCGCCGTAAGCTTCTAATTTCCGAAGATTAGATGAGAACGTATCAGATACAAGGAGCAGAAGAGTAAGTAGACAATTACATTGAGCGAGACGAAGCCGGACACGGGACGAATAGTTGAGATAGATGGGGGATTCTGATGTTAAACGCCAGATGGGGAAGAACATGATATTTTATGATTTGTGTTTCAAAATTACCGCAATCGCCATCTCGGTTGTCTGCACTCGTCAAATAAGAAGCAATCCGCCCAGTGGTGTGTCCAACTCCAAGCGCCAAACGATGCAAAATGTAGCGCGAATATCATGTGGCATGTGCTTTGGCCATGGTGCAAGGGGCTGTGGATTACGCAAAGGCAACCCTCCTCCTTGACTTGGCGGCTTTGGACCCTGTCGATGCCAACGTCTTGACCGAATCTTCCTTTTCCTCTTCGCCGGCGCTCTTCTTCTTCCTCTTCTTCCTCAATGAGTCCTTTGCATCCTCCAGCTTTGTTTTCTTTTCCTGCTCCTTCTTCTCAGCCTCGAGCCTCCGCGCCTCTCTGATCTCCTCCATCTGCCTTGCCTTGATCATCTTCGACTCGATCTCGCCGTTCTTTTCGGCTTGGACTATGGCCATGATGGTGCCCATGCTCTCCTTGTATCTAATCAGGGCCAAGTCTGTCAAAAGGCATCAGGGGGGGAGCGAACGTACCTCATCGTCAACAAAGACCTTGCCCTTCTTCTTCCCTTTTGGCCTTAGTACACCCACAGGTGTTACCATGTTCAATGCGGGGATGCCCAACTCCGCCTCGGTATAGACCTTCTTCTTGGGCTTTCTCAACAGCGCTGCGCGATTCTTTTCCTTGACTTGCTGGGAAACAACGGGGCCCTTGGGCTTCCTTGATTTGGAGACGCCACCGGCACTGCCTCCAGCTTTGGAAAGGTCACGCTTCGGGGCGGCATGTTTGTTTTTCATGGTTCGGGTTCTTGAGGCCGCCATTTTGCTTGCACGCCTGTGCTGTACGGCCGAGGAGTAACACGAAGGGGCTTTGGTAAGATGGTGATGGTGACGATGCAAAGCGGTGGTATTTTTTTTCTGGCGATAAGCCTTTGTGAGGGGCGATAAGAATGGCCATTGGGCCGGCAAGAACATGGGGCGCCGGACCTGTGGTGGGGTTCCAGACTCGATGGTCCAAGACTTTACAACAGACCAGGCCTTGCCCAACGCAACGTCCCGTCTTTGGCCATTCGACTGCCATCGTTGGCCTTGTCCCTTGGCAACTATGCCTGAGAAAGCCTGGTTAGCCCGTACTTTGAGAAAGGGTATTTGAGCTTGAGGGCTTTTGCTATTGGGGCTAGTAAGTTACTAAAATTGCTGTTGGGGCTAACATGGCCTATAACCCTAACCCCCATGCTCGTTTTCACACACCCCTGCTGAGTTGAAGCCGCCCTCAATTAGATGCAAAAGTAGTCAATTAATATCCACGTATTTCTTAATAATGCTGGCTTAGAGAAGCAGGCTCTGAATCGTTTCGTTTGATGTGTGCACTTTACAGCCCGTCGATAATTCTGTTGCTGTTGTAGGTACTGCCTGAGCTCTCAAGAGATCGTCTATTCACGCTGCTGCTGCTCTTCTGGCTGCCTTTGAGGGAGAATTTGCTCACTGGTCAGTCGGTGGCCGACCTCGTCAGAAGAATCGAAGAAGGAAAACGTATCCAGAGGCGCGATATATTACTTTGCAATGAAAGGCTCCTTGTCCTGGCATCACGAAGAATGGATGCAAAGTGGACCCAGACAGGGACAGTTGTTGCCTGCTGACCCCCTCTCAAGTCTCAAGTACCAAGTGCAGTGCCCACTGCCACTGCCCACTGCCCTCTGGTGGCTGGTGGCTGGTGGCTGGCGCTGTCCCGCGCTGTCCTGTCCTCCTGTCCTGTCTTGTCCGGGCTACCGAGCCAGCCTGGCCTGCCCTGGTCAGTCAGTCAGTGGTGGTGGTGGCCTGGTACCTGGCACGCCAGTTGACCTCTGGCCATTACATCTCGTCGTCTGGCAAGAATTTCTCTAGACCTCCACCACACCACCTCGCGCTCTCACTTCACCACCCCATCCGTCTCCCGGCAAGACCCCCCCCTCAGAAAAAAAAAGTCCCCAGATCCACAGACCACGACGCATTCCATTACTGCAACACTGCTGACTTCGCCTGCGCATCGTCCCGTCCTCTCCGTACCTCGTCTCAAACAACTCACAATCAACAAATATATCTGCCATTTGACATAATCTACGTCATCTCCTCGTCTGTCGACCGCTCCTCCCGCCAGGACTCACGAGTCACGATATACTGCTCACATCAACCGGCTGCCCGGTTCTCTCGCCTTGCCCTTGGTTCTCAGCGTACTTGTCGATTCGATTCTCCCTCGCTGCCTTGCACCACAGATTTATGCGAGCACCTAGCCCATAGCGTCAACACCGCCTTCCAAGTTCCAACCCACTCTGGCCAGAGGCTTCCTCGCTTGCCACGTTGCCCCGATTCAACTATTCGAATTGCTCATTCGCTGCCCGCATACACCGACCGCTTCCCGCCAGTGCCAATATCGGAGCCTGTCTGCCTTGCCTCGCCTTCCTTGGCCATTGCGACGCCGCCTCGAGGTGTCTCTCTCCGACATCGAGCCGCATCATTTAGACTCAAGACCCCAACTACGTCTTCATGGATAATCTATGGAACCGTCGCACAAAGTGAGTTCTTCACATCACCCTACCGTCGTCTCTCCTCGTACCACCCCGCCACATGTATTCCGTCATCCTCTTTGTCCGTGACTAATGATTTTTGTCCGCCCTTGCTCAAAGCTCTGGCAAACTGTCCCTTTCGACAACGACAAACGGTACCAACGGCTCATCGGCTGGTGATGCCTCCCGGAACGCCTCCATCGCCAGGCGCCACGGCGGCGACATATCCTCGCATGGCAAAGCCAGCCCTTTTAATACTCCAGGCGGCAGCCTAGCGTCTCCTACCAGTGGCGCTTCAAGTGCTTTTGGCTTGGGCTCAGGTGCTTTTGCCTCGTTCGGCTCGGCCAAGACTCCCAAGTCTGCTGGAAACCCTTTTGACACGGCCATGGGCTCCATTGTGGCTAAAACCACTGCCGTGAAGGACAGTGGCAAGGCATCCATTGGCAAAACCCCGGGCATGGCATCCATTGCCGAAAATAAGGTGTCCTCTTTGACGGTAGCTTCCAAAGCGCACCCGCTGAAAGACGCGTGGTCATTTTGGTACCGTCCTCCCATTTCCAAAGCCCACGGCTTCATCGAGTATGAAAACACCTTGCACGGAATTGCTACCGTGCAAACCGTCGAGGAGTTTTGGGAGATTTACTCCCATCTGAAGAGACCTTCCACCCTGCCAGTTGTGTCGGATTATCATCTGTTCAAGAAAGACGTCCGACCCATCTGGGAGGATGAGGTTAATCGAAAGGGTGGAAAGTGGGTTGTGAGGATGAAGAAGGGTGTGGCCGATCGCTACTGGGAGGACTTGCTCCTCTCCCTCATTGGCGACCAATTTGGTGATGCTGGTGAGGATGTATGCGGCGCTGTATTAAGCATGCGTAACGGGGAAGACATTCTGAGCATCTGGACACGAACAGCCGGTGGTCGCGTGCTCAAGATCCGGTAGGCAGATGTCACGCAAATGTCCAATCTCAACAGAGTCGCGCTAATCCTTCTTCATCTCGCAGTGAGACCATGAAAAGCGTTCTCAACTTCCCTCCAAATACCCGCGTCGAGTTCAAAACGCATGATTCTAGTATTCAGCAAAGAAGCGCCATCGATGAACAGCGCCGCGAAAAAGCCAACCAAAGTCAGGGTGGCGACAGACGTCACTCTCAGCGACAGAGCCACGAGTGAAGAGACAGACGTGTTTTGTGATCCTCGCTAAAGGCAATCGCCCGAGCTTCGTAGTTCCGATTGGCTTTTCTGTACAAAATATCTATGAGACAGAACTGGCGAGTTCCAAGGTTTGACAAAACGCCGAAGACTCCCTCTGGTCTCATTGTTCTTTTTCCCTTGCCCGGTGTTTCAATCGTGCCTGTTCTTTGTCGTTCTTTGGAGTTTTATATTTTGCTCGGAGGCAAAATGGGAGGGAAGGATGTGGATGCGTTGTGATTTGTTTCCGTCATTTTGCGCAAGGCAAGGCATATACCGGGTTTAGTTGGACACGGGATGGGATGCCCTTCTGATTTGTTTTTTCTTGCACCCCTTAATAAAACAAAGCAAACAAAGAGAAACAGGGGAGAGAGAGAGAAGGCGGTATTGCCCGGACTGGGGCCTGGGCAGCTACGGCAGGTTTCATGTGACAATGTACTATATGTATAAGCTAATGAGCAGACGGAACATTGGTAAGGAGTTCCACGGCGGGCTGTCAAAAAGGCGCAACTTGCAGACAAGCTTTATCGAAAAGCATCTTCCCAGCACGGTCTGGAATGAAATGTGACGGTCGTGATGACGAGTCCTCAATCGGTTTCTTATCGTCTTGTCCATAGTCTTACACGTTTTGAACCTTGGACGTCAGAAGTTGGCGTGCTTGGAGGCTCCGGCCGCCGCCGCCGGTCTTGGTTCCCTCCTCCGCTCCCAAATCTGCAGATACGTCTCTCCCAAATACAACAGCTCGCTCTGGACCTTTTCTACATATAAATCCTGGCAGCTGACCCATTCGCCCGTGGCCCTGTCCCTCACCTGCGCCTTCCACGTCTTTCGCTCGTCCCCGCTGTCGGCGACGTCTTCCCTCGTGCGCACCGCCTCGTGCACCACGTTGGCGACCAGATCGTACCAGATGGGCTCCGAGGCGGGCCACTCAGCAGGGTTCGGCTCCACGTACGGCGACACGTCGAGGTTGCGGGCGTCAAACGTGACGATGGTAGGGTTCCGCTCGGAGACGAACTTGTTCTGCGAGAAGCGCTTGACGTGGAATATCAGGTACGGCGGGAGGGGGTGCAGCAGGCGGTAGCGCTTGCGCTGGGCGTGGTGCTCCTGCGCCGACCTGCCGTCGTACTTGGACAGGATGGCGGTCAGGGGCACCTGGGGGATGATGTTGCGCTCGAGCTCGTCCTGGAAGAGCGGCGCGGCGGGGAGGTCGAGCGTGAGGAGGAGGAAGCGCACGACGTCGGCCCTGACCTGGGCCGCCTCCTCGAAGCGCAGCCGGTCGGTGGCGTCTGCGCGGGCCGTGATGGCCTGCGACTCGACCTTGAGCCTGCCCTGGAAGGTGCGCTGGATCATGGAGCTGCCGGGCCGGGACTTGCTGCCGCCCAGGCCGAGGTGGAGGTTGTTGAGGAACCAGGAGAGGAACTCGACGGGGTCGGACTGCGCGGTGAGCGTGAAGCGCTTGTTGGAGCGGACGGCGATCTCCTGGAGGAGCTCGTGCGGCGAGACGTGGGCCTTGAAGGCGCGCGCGTTCCAGATCTTGCGGAAGAGGATGCTGCACCGCTTGACGAGCTCCGTCGCCCTGCTGAAGTCCTCGAGCAGGAAGAAGTTCCGGAGCGGGGGCACGTGGGAGAGCGCCTGGACGACGACGTTGAGGTAGTCGTTCTCCTTGATGTTGTTGATGCCGACGAAGCCCGGGGTGTACTCTCTGCCGGCGAGGGTCCACGACTTGCGGCGCGAGCGGTCGATGCTCGCGACCTCGCGTTTCGTGTACCGCGGGTCGGAGACGTACTTGATGTCGTCCAGGGACTTGCTCTTGACTTCGTAGCCCTCCGGGAGGACGTACACCCGCTGCGTCTCGAGGTTGATGAAGACGTGGTGGTCTTCGTCGAGGGCGTGGAAGTAGGCGTGCGACTTGGGCCCGCGGCCCTGGAAGTACTTCCCGCACACCAGGCAGGCGTATACGTTGATGTTGGACAGCGAGACCGAGCAGAGCTTTTCAAAGTCAAAGTCGAGCACTTGCCGGTCTATCGTGTCGAGGTAGAGGTCGTCGTAGCCCTCGGCGGGATTGGCTTGTCGCAACGGCACCGGGGGAGCTGCTTCGTCGGGGTCCTCGTCGCCGTCGGAGCTGTGGCTGCCTTCGCCGGCGACGGCCTCGTCAAGCTGTGATGGCGTGGCAAAGGAGACGCCGTTTTCGTTGCGCGGCGTTTCGACTTCGGCCGTTCGCGACTTTTTGGAGGCCGGTGATGCCGCGCCCAGGAGCTCGTCGAGGGGCTCGGGCGCATGGCGCTTGGCCATGGCTGGCGTCGCGTCACTTTTTATATCTGTGCTTTCCTGGAGTACGGTGCAGCTGTCGGGATGGTCTGGCGCGGTGCGAGGGCTGTATGTGACGAGACAATGGGTGAGGATGATGGCTTTCTTGCCGTGGCAGCGGATTAGAGCTCCGACGAAAGGATGCAGGGCGGCTGAGAAGAAGCTTGCCTCGTTGTGGGGCGGCAGTCGTGGGACGGAAGTGAGCGAGTGCTTCGGTTGGTGTGGCTCCAGCCCAAGGAGTCAGTCTCGTTGACAGACAACTGATGATTGATGACAGTCGCCGGTCGATCTCGTGATGCTTGCGCGGGTGTAGAATCCGCATCTGCACACATTCAATCACAATTCACCCTTGGCCCTGGGCAATTTGCATGGCATACTCAATTTTATTACCGCTCATTCACTGACAATGCTAGTTGACCGCATAAATCCGGGACCAAATCCGACACATGGGATGATAACGAGATCAAATACAAAATATACCAGACACCTATTTACCGGGCGCGTCCGTCCCTCTATGCATTTTCAACGCCTCCCATGTAGAACCAACCTATCCGACCATGACCGTATCATCACGTCCGCCACCTGGTCCTGCTAGACTAGCATTACTGTCTTCCGTCGGTGCTAGACTGTCCATCTCCTGCAGGGTATATTCCACCAGGTAGCTCTCGTCTACCAACTCTTCCATGCGTTTGTAATGGCGCTCGGTGTATGCCCGAAGCCCTTGAAGGACATCCCTCAGACTCTTCTGTCCACGTGCTCCCTTTACCGACAAGTCCGAGAATTTGGAGGCCGGGTAACTCCTCATCAACGTCCACATGATACGCTGAGCAACCGGTGCGGTTCGAGAATTTGTATTCCAGTCTCGCAGTCTGAGGACGAGGAGGAAGATCTGCTCATCCGACAAGCCGCCCAAAACCTCGTCAACGGCCTTGAGCCCACACAAGCTGCCGTCATCCTGCTTGCTGCTGGTAACCACAGACGTGAACAATTTCAACAGACGACCGGGATGGTTGAGTTGGAGTGCCAACGTAATAGCCTCTCTGTATGACCCAGCAAAAATGTGATTCTCCAACTCCTGTTCCTGCTCGATCATCCTCAGCGCGGCTTGCGAGGCGGCGGCCTGGGTTTCAGCTGTCGTATCTCTCCAAAATGTCACGGTGGAATCACCGCTGCCAGATGCAATAGTATTGGTATCCGGCTGGACGGCTAAGGCCCAAACCCTGTCTTCGTGGTTGTCCAGAGTGCATTCCACCTCGCCAGAGTTGGCATTCCAGACCTTCACAAGGCCGTCACCGGCAGCAGTGACGAATTGCACAGGTTTCCTCGACTGCTCCTGTGGGCACGGCAAATTCAACCAAGCAACCTTGAGAACGCTGTTGGAGTGTCCCTCAAACGTTCTGATGCATGTGTAGTCGGCCAAGCTCCAAAGCTTGACACTCTTGTCACCGCTACCAGTAAGAATGACACCCTTACCCGTCACAGGACCGTCGTCTCCTTGTATGGTGGGCACTTGGGCGGGAGAAAATTGAACTGACCAAACACCTCTCTTGTGACCCCGAAGAATGCCTTGGACTTCGCCTTCCTCCATTGACCAGATTTTGACTGTTTTATCTTGCGATGCGGAGGCAAAGAGACTACCCGAGTGGTGAACATTGACTGCATTGATGTCCTTGTCGTGAGCTTTCCTGGTGAAGACAGCTCTAGGCTTCGAGCCCTGCTGCTGACGTCGGCGAGGAATCTCCCATTTCTTGACAGTCTGATCCTGAGAACCAGTGATGAGACATGCTGGGGGATGTTCAAGTGGACTGGCTCGTGCAGCAGAACCTTCAGCAGGGACCGACTTTGGGAGGGCAACGGCTCCGAGAGACTCGGCATGACCCGAGAAAGTAGCCCAACACGTATACGAGTCGTGGGCAGCATCTACACACCACAGTCGCGCTGTGTTGTCTTTGGCACCTGTGACAATCCAGTGGCCTGACCAGTCGGTATCCAACGAGATTACAATGTCTTCGTGTCCTCTGAGGAGGGCTACGTCTTGTCCGAAGTAAGGGGTCCCGTATGAGTTCCGCGAGGCCAGAGTTTCCTCTCGTGTAGCTTCAGCCACGGATATCAGTCGAACATACTCGGAATTAGTTGCCAGCGCCATGAGAGATCGATCCGGAAGTAAATAGCTCAGGTCGATGACTTCATCATGGGTGCCGGAGATGCGACGGAAGGGTTCCTGGACACTCAGAGAAGCTTCTGATTCCTTGGTAGGCGGATGGTAGAACGCAAGCGTATGGTCCACTTGAACACAAAGAATAAACGGCAAGTCGGGACGATAGATGCCGGCCACAATGCTCTCTTCCTCACTTTTTGCTGGCTGAGCCCCCGTGACTTCTCTGCCGTGGTCTGTATCCCAGATGCGCAAACAACCATTTGCCCCAGCTGAGAAGGTCAGGCGGCCCCCGTCAAGGAACCCGACCGTTTCCACAAGCTCAAGGCAGGGCACAACCTTTCGAATCTTCCACGATCTCGTATCCCACCAAATAAGAGTTTTGTCTCTGCTTCCGCTAACAAGGACATGCTGGTCGGGAGAGTAATCGATTTTCTGGACATGAGATACGTGAGAGTCGAGATTGGCAACGCAACTGCGCTTGTGCAAGTCCCAAACTCGAATTTTCCCGTCCTGGCTGCCCGAAGCCAGTCTAAAATTGGCGTTGCTGACACCTTCGACCTCGTTGTCGGGGTCGTCATCTGCCTGCGCGCCTTTCTTGCCATTTCGGGAGCTGTGATTGTCCATGGATCGGGCCGCTACCTCGAAAAAGTGCAAGGCAGAAACCAAAACAGGCGGCCCGCGGAAAGAATGCGTCACGTAGCCGCCCGCAATGTCCCATACTTTGATGGTGCCGTCAGTGCCGCCAGTCGCGAGCAGTGTGCTTGTGCGATCAACCGCCAAGACCACTACAGGCGTGCTGTGCGGCTTGATGGTTCGGGTGAGGGTTACTTGGACCGTATCATCATCGGAGGGGCGCCTGAGGGAGAAGATTCTCATCGATAGCGACCGCGAGGAGACAACGAGGTGTGAACCAGATGGTGTTACTATTATATGGTCAACATGCTGCTGGGATAGTTTGAAAGAAAAAAACGTACAAGTTAATGTAGAGATCATTTCTCCATCCTATTCAGGCATGTCAGCATGCGCGTCGCAACTCGTCAAACTATCGATATTTCTCGTACACCCTCAATCTGAGCCAAATGCTTCCCGTTGGCGGGGTTCGTCAAGACAACATCTTCGCCGAGAGTTGAGGCCAGAATTTGAGCCCTGTTGTCGACTGCAATAGCCCCGCCTGTAAATATAGGTCGAATCACATGGTCGACGTCAAAAGTCGTTTTCAATGGCTGTTTGGTAGCCATGGCTTGAATCGCAACCTGTTGGAGTCGATGACCTCGAAGAATTCCTACATTGAATTTGGAACTTTTTTCTGGGTCCTGCAGGAACTCAGCCAGTCGCCGGCCAAGGAATGACTAAGCAGGACGAGTACCTGTGGTTTGTGGGTCTTGAATCTTGAAATCAAACATCTCGTCGAGCGTCATAGGTCAGTTAGTCGTCGCAACATCGCATCATCATCGGGGGATGTATTCTCATACATAGCTCGCCTGTGGTAATGGCAAGGGCAAAGAAAACCTCAACAGATCCGCGATAATGGGTATGCAAGGACCGCTTACGGCCCAGGCCCTGGTACGGCTCATCTACCACTGCGATATCTGTGCTGCTTAAGCTAATGCCTCTTTCCAGGGCCGCTCTCCATACGACGAGGTTGTAGACGGGGAGGGCGAAGATGACCCCCGTCACCCCACGCCGCAACACGACCATCGTGGTCGTCCTATCAATCCGGAGACTAAGAGGATGAACCGCGACATTATTAGGGCTCATAACGAGGTGATGCTGGTGATTGGCGTTGCGGAGCCAGAGAATCCTTACTTTGGACCAGAAGCTGAATCGCAGCGTCGACATCAAGCCTATGAGGAATCAATGAGCCTTCAGTTGGCTATCCCGGCTAGAAGATGCATTGACTCTGTCGGCATTTTTGGTGTCCATGGGCTTCGTCAGCGAATTTTGGTGTGCACTCCCATCCCTCCCGTCCCGTGAAACTGTCATGGAGCCCGATGTTAATGTTTGATGCTCCAGATATACAAAAGATACTCTCAGATACCATTCTGGGAGTCATTCCAGCGAGCCAGAGTCGATTTCTCTTTTACCAGGGACGTCTTATCTGGCGCTCCAACAGCCTTTCTCACCAACTACATCGAGAGGACCGTAACGAGCTTGTGGCTCAACGATCAAGCCAAGCAAGTACCTCGTCGTGTGTATGTCCTCTGCTCCTCGGGAATTCTTCACAGTGTGTTCTCTAACTGGCCATAGGCTCCATGAAATCTGGTCCTATCTAAGAGTCCATCTTGAATTGCACGTCGCTATGCAACGCTTGGGTATTCTCTCCAATGTGTTGTGGCTACCTCAACCCAGTTTCTTTATCCCGTTTACAAAAGCCTCGCCAATACCTGCTCCGCCCTCACTAGAAGATTACACGATGCCATCTCTATTGAAATGGGTTGGGGGCGTCTTGATCTCGGCGACTCCATTCCTGGTGTGGGTCATGGCTCAAAGGATGGTGCGTGACTGGAAACCTCAAATATGGTCATATATATTCCGGAAACTTCCGAACACGATGTTCCAGGGCAAGAAGATTCCTCCTCCTCCGCCTTTGCCTCCACCCACTCCCCCTCATGTTGCTCTGCCGCTTTCAGATGATCCTCCTCGAGTCGTGGAAGCAGACGAGGAGAATTCGGCTCAAGTCGAGAGCAGTGGTGAAGGCACACCGGAGCAAAATGCGGACTCTACTCCACCAGGCGGTCCATCACCTCAGCCGCAGCTACCTCGTCGGGCAAGTTTATTCTCGACGAGAGGCGACGAGTACCCTAGTGATGACGAAGATAACGAAGGAGTCACGGCCACTTTGATAAGCTTTGATGTGGAGGCTTCGGAGTCTCAAGACGCGCCGCCTGGCCTTTGGTCAGCGGAATTACGACCTAGCGCAGGCTCAGATCCGCGATTGAATGGGAATCAGCAGCCCGTGTATTGGGACAGCTTGCTCACGCAAATGCCAGCAGCCATGGCAACACACATGCTTGCAGATGCCCTAACCAGAGTTTTGATGGCACCATACGAGGCCACAGCTCTTCGACTGATCGCTCGCTCCTTCCGCAGTCGACAGGGTCTGCCCATTTCGGATATATACAATGCAAACATGCTCAGTGGGTTTACAAGCACGGCCCTGGTTAACTTCTTGGGCGCTGAGCTGTTACATATAAATCTTGCGAGTGAGATTTGGGCGATCGTTACGTGCGTCTCACAATGGTTCCATATGACTGAGGAGGAATGGAAATCCGAGGAAAAAAAGACGTGAGAGTTGTAAGTGGAGTTGATGACAAGACCTGCAATCGAACGTCTCTCGAGGAGACGAATGTATGACCGGATAATTCATGGCCGACGAGGGCCTGAATACGCAGCCTCAAGACTAGCGTCGCCTCGAGGGGAATTGGGAATTTCTTTCAGTTACCACCAGGCGATTGATGGCTGAAAAGTTTTCGTCTCCCGGTTCGGCCGTTTGTTTATGATGAGCAAGCAAGCATCTCATGGTGACAGTCGAGCGAGGCTGTTTTCCTCCGGGAAAGGTAACGATAGGGAGACATATGCGTCCGGTGACGAGACTCGACGAATCGGGTTTATGAAAATACCTTCCACATGCCCTGATCCTCCGTAGCTTCGGATCGGTTGGCCTCTGTCTGGGCATACTTGCGAACAAGACGACGGTGTGCCTGTGATGCATGCTTACGGAACACAATTGACACTATGGCATATAGGAGATGACGGCGACTCTGGTGTAGACTTGTCTACTTTTCTGGCAAGAAAGACCAGTGTCTCTTTAGCCAACCCCAGGCTAAGCAACGTGGATAACTGCATGGTGGCCCGTCATCTGAGATACAGGATTGCATACGATTGTATCAAAGAGAGTGATGCACCATTTCTGCAGTCTACGGTCAGCTGCATTGCTAGATAAGCAGAAAACATGGCCAATTTCTCAAAATGTCCAATCAAGCCCTCCCGCCAAGGCCATCTTTGGCGATGCCAACTATCAGTCGCACTGGCAGACTATCCAGTCGCCGCAATTTTCTATCACGTATGACGTTCCAGAATAGGGCCAAAGCCGTTCCATAGCACGATCTTTAACGGCAAGTAGCGTGCGTCATTAAACATTTTTACACTTTTACCAGGACCTGTTTAAAGCCGTTGAGTTTGGTCCCACACAGCTGTGTGCGCTTGACTAGCAAAGATGAAGCAGGTAAATTCCTATGCAAACGAGGATGTAGTCTCTTAGGAAAATGCATATGAGTCAGCTGCTGCCGCTAACAGCGTATGATTTGCTTGAGTCCTTACTGCCTTTCATTCCACATTGAAGTTGGTAGGCAAACAGAGGCTTCAAGAGTTCCATTCCAATTTTTCGTGTGTTCGTGCGAATATCCAGCGCAGCGATTCGTAGCGCTTCCTCAAGTTGCACAAGTTCAGTCCTTCATGTACATTACATATCTTCCCACTCGCGGCAGGTAAAATCCCGTGTCATTGTGCCACATCTGTTCCACCGTTTATCCCAAGCGCCGGCTTTTATTTGCAGACAACCGAGATCTAAGTCAGCAATTCATCATCGTTTAAAATGGCATGTCCCTCGCAAAGGTCCCGCGTGCGTCTGGTTTACGCTCCATGCCGATATACCTGGGCCCCTGAATTCCTAAACATGATTGTATCCCTCCGCTGCAGCACCATGAGAGCCCTGTTCAGCGCCTGCTCACTGTATCCCTTGCCCTCAACCATTTCCCTCCTTAGTGTGCCCAAGCTTGTGCTCCACCCGATGGGTAATCGGCGCTTGAGCTCGACTTCGAGACGGTTGACTTCCTCGTTCAGCTCGCGGCTGCCCTGGTTGCTGCCCTGGTTGACAGCGTCCATGGTAGAGCAGAGGAAGAGACGGATCGCTTCGTCGACGTGCTCTTCCGTGGCGACTGGCGACAGGCTCAGCTTGGCGAGGGACTCGGTGATACGGACAATGGCCTCGAGCTGACGGACGGTGATGGGGATGGAAGAGCGGGCGTTGGCTTCCAACTCGGCGGCGTGGACTTGACGTCTGATGGAGACAAAGTGTGATGAGAGCTTTTCCGCCGCTTCGGGGCTGAGACGGGGCGCGCATCGACTGTCATGGCGTTAGTTGGCATTCGCCAGAGTGGAAAACTGGCTGGGGAAACGAGACAGCGCCTACGTCTTGCAGTACGTAATATATCGTCGCATCTTCTCAACAGGAATCTCAGACTCGGCAACTTCTTCAGCTCCACGGCCATCCATGTGAATCCCCATGACGTGCTTGGCTATTCTCTCGTCCTTTTCGCGCGTGTGCTCATCTTTGACAATGAAAATCATGTCGAAACGGGACAGAATGGTTGTTTGGAAGTCGATGTTCTCCCCGGGCGTTTTCATGTCATCGTAACGACCAAAGATGGGATTGGCCGCCGCCAGGACGGACGTTCTGGCATTGAGGATGGTGGTGATGCCAGCCTTGGCAATGGAAATGGTTTGCTGTTCCATGGCTTCGTGGATGGCGACGCGGTCTTCGTCTCTCATCTTGTCAAACTCATCGATGCAAACTACACCGCCATCAGCCAAAACCATGGCACCGCCTTCCAAGTAGAATTCTCTTGTAGACTGGTCCCGTTGGACGGAGGCTGTCAGGCCTGCTGCGGAAGAACCTTTACCGGATGTGTAGATGGAGATTGGTGCTGCCTTTTCCACAAACTTGAGGAGCTGTGACTTTGCCGTGCCAGGATCACCGAGAAGGAGCACGTTGATGTCGCCTCTCAGCTTCATACCATCGGGTAGAATCTTCTTTGATCCGCCTAGTAGCAGACAAAGAATCGCCTTCTTGATGTCCCGGTTTCCGTAGATGGAGGGCGCAATGCAGTCTGCCATTACGCTGTACAGGTCTGGTCGCCTGCTCATTTCGAGAAATTCTTGTTCTTCTTCCTCGTTGTAGCTAATATGACCCTTGGCAGTTTGGTCCAGATCCGTTTGGATGCCAACCGCCCTCAGGTACGGCGTTCGAATGGCTACGGCGCCGGTAGTGGACGAGTTTTTGGACGCCTTGTTCTGGTAGATGGAGAAGATGCCCATGACCGTGCACCTTGACCCGGGGACGACGCGGTTTGTGAGATATCTATCGGCAGAGACGAGAACATGCCGAGGCAGTTCTCCAACTGGCACCTGGTCCGGCGCCTCTTGCAACTTGATGATTTGCTGGTCGACGAACTGCGACTTTTCGTGCATGACAAAGTATGGATCTAGAGGACACTTCTCGGTGGGGTCGTTGGCAACTCGCTTACGACTACACTGTCTTGGAAGCGTGACACCGGTAAAGCCGCCCAACACGGGGATGGTCTCCTGGAATTGACAGTTGCGGCACTGGATATGCAGCTCTGTGGCTTTTGATGACATGACGGAGGCGCCAATGACGATGCCGGGGACGCGAACAAGCCTGGCAATCGTCATGGAGTCCAAATTTCGGATTGACACATCTTCGGCATCAGAATGAAGAAGAAGCTGGTGATCGGGAAGATGAACGTCCTTCTCGTGGGGGAAGACGATCCGGTGTGTACATTTTTTGAGGGCAGACTCAAACTATCGTCACTGTCAGAAGCGACGGATCAGGTGTCGTTTCAAACAGTATATAAACTCACGAGAGGGATGATTTCGGCGGGTTCGGAAGCGAGTTTGTGAGCAAGCTCCTCGTTGAAGTTGATGAGGTCGTTGATTTTGACATCACAGTAGAACTGCTTGAGAAGCGCGTTCTCTCGTAGCTGGTCACTAGTCACACATGTCAGGGCCACTCTGCAACTGTTGCCACATACGGACAACATACCGGTAGACAAAGTTGTTGTCTAGTCGGAAGTCAAGAATGAAGGTCTCGAGTTGTTGTTGGAGCTGAAGCCTGGTGTCCCCATTTTCGCCGTAGCTAGGCTCGAAGACATGCGCTGAATAAACAGACTGACGATCCATGGTTGAGTCTTGTTGGCGTATCTGCGGCCTCGCACCTCTGCAGAATACTCTAAGGCTCGGAAGGGGAAGTTTTTCGGATCGCGGGGATAGATGGAAATCGGAGGGTGCCAATTGAGGCCCGAGTCGCCTGACTGTATAGCAAGGCCAGCCAGCAGAGGGCAATTTACACGAACCAGACGCGTCGAGTATCTTGCAGCGCGACACGCGCCGTTAAGTGGTTGCAGACACTAAGCCCAACGAGGACATGGTCACTGGGCCTGTGGGGGCCCCGGTCGGGAAATCACCGGCTGATAACGCGCAGAGCTGCTGTCATCGTCGCTTGGGGTTTCGTGGCTGCTATGGGAAGTTGGGATAACTACAAGTACGATTACTTGGCGGTGGCCTCGATCGGCGTCGCCTTCATCTTGGCCATCGACTGTCGTCAAAACAGCCCAAATTATGCCTTTTTAGCCATCTTTGTTCTATCATTTCCTGCGCCGTATTTTCTTCTCCTCCCATCTCTATCCGTCCGCAGGTGCCAGAGATGATACCCCGGTAGCACTCCTTATCCAACCCCGTCCATACACAGCTGTTGGCTACACAGGGCTCTAGCTCTGTCCCCGGAAACCTTGTTGCGCATATCATGTTTTCCTCTCCAGCCGCTGGAAAGTCCGTCGATAGCCTTGCTGCGCAGTCGATGGCAACCCGGCATGAGGTCCCTCTACATGGGTTGGTCTTGATCTAGCCAATGGGCCTTGCTTTGCGCTGACACTCAAGCAGCAGTCGGCCTGCTCAAGGACACCGTCGTTCGTCATCCAGACGGAATTCTGTCACGAGTTCTGTCCATTCCGTTGGTGGAGCTTTGGATAGCTCTTCCAACGCTTGGTCTAATTCCCTGTACGAACCAGGACAAAATGGTAAATCAGCCTCATTGCCCGCCCATAGGGGCAAACAGGACAACTGACCCGCGTTTGCAGCCATTTCAACGCTTCTGCAACCACCTATCGTTCGGACTGGCCTGCAGCCTCACACATCGGCTCCGTCATCGAGTTCACACAAACCTCCCAATGCTCGCGACATCCCACCAGTTTCCTTGACCAATATTCCAATTATCGATCCCGCCGAGTTCAATCCCTATGTTGCACAAGTTGGAGCACTATATGAGCAGCTTCGACGAGTCAAGGAGAGCGGGGACGAATCTGTGATCAGCTTCCGGAACTCCAAGTCGGGTGAGCAGTCGGATGCGGACGGCCTACTCCGACCGACAACGAAATCCCATCGGCGAGGTTCGACTGCTTCGGTTGCTTCACTGGTATCTATCGATGCATTAAGCACCGCACGCAAGCCTAGTTCCGGCCTTGGCCGAAAAGCAGTGCCTGGAACTTCGCCCTTGTCGACCATTCCAACAGTCTACTTTGATGAAGATTTTCATCTTGAAAATCCGAGGACATTTGATGTTGTCAGCGAACGATCAGAGGTAATCCGGCCTATATCACTGGGCAAGGACAGTCCTCCCGGCCCCCCGGCCCCAAGAAAAGCTCTAGCAACGAATGCTATCCTTCAAGAGAAACTGTCCTGGTACATGGACACCATTGAAGTCCATCTTATTAATTCGATATCGACGGCATCGACAACATTCTTCACTGCTCTTGGATCTTTAAAGGAACTGCACTCAGAAGCTGCCGACTCGGTGGAAAGGATAAGGGCCCTAAGAGAAGAGCTAAAGGCACTTGATGAGGAAATAGCAACTAACGGCGTGTTGATTGCTGAGAAACGTCTGCGGCAGCAGAACCTACAGCAACTAAATCATGCTATATGCCAACTACGCTACGTTGTTGACGGGGTTGGCCGCTGCGATTCATTGGTTGATGCTGGTGAAGTAGACGAAGCTTTGAGCACCATTGACTCATTGGAGAAGCTCATTGCAGGTGAGCGTGAGGAAACAGAAGGAATGGAGCCGCTGGCCATAGAATTACGCGATTTACGAGGAGCTTCCGCATTGCAAGGCGTTGACCAAGATTTGAACGCCTTGCGCTTCAGAATTGGAAAGTCTTACGAATCACAATTCTCCAATGTCTTGCTAGCAGACTTGCGCAGACACGTAGAGTCTGTTTCTACTGCGGATGTTCTTCTTCGATGGGACAATGCGGCATCCAGGGGCCGGGGGGGCCACTCTCGATCACCTTCGATATTCCCGACGTACCTCACAGCAACGGAACAGCTCAAGGCACAGCTTATGCCCAACATGAAGGGTCTACATCGTGCCAAGCACGTTGTAACGGCAGCGATAGCTTATCGAGATGCAGTTCTTCGTGAGATTCGCAGCTTGATCCGACGCCCTCTTCCAAGTTCGAGCGACGACGACAATGAGTCCATGTTGTCGCTATCGACAACTAGTGGAAGCAGGCACTTATCAAGTCAAGAAAAATCCGCAAATTTGGCAAGAAATTTACGGGCACTGGATGCAGAAGACGCAGAAGAGCTACTCGTCAAGATCTATGTCGGTGTCACCGAAACCTTGAGACGACTGACCACCCAAGTCAAGGTGCTACTGGATATCACGAGCTCTTTGTCGGATGCATCTGATTTGGATGATGTTAAGTCACCACCGGCTAGGTCGCCTGTGACGAGCCCCCGCCCGGATCGCCATATTTCCAATCCAATGGCTGCCGCCGATGTCGAACTACAGGAAGAACTTCATAAGAGTCTGGACATCAATAGTCTCCTAACCCAAGCTGTTGATATCGCAAATGACAAGATCGTCAGGATTATCAAGGTCCGTACCGAGCAGGCTACTCATCTTCCGTTGGATCTATTTCTTCGATACTTTACCCTTAACCTCTATTTTGCAACCGAGTGTGAAGCCATCTCTGGACGAAGCAGCGCTTCTTTCAAGACGGTGGTTAACGGACATATCAAAGAGTTTGTTGAACGAAATCGCGATGCAGAGATGCAAAGGCTAGCCCAGGGCATGGAGTCGGATCAGTGGAATGCAAAAGATTTCACAGACAGCGACATGAAGCTCCTGGATCTCATACTAGGCTCTAGCACGCAGGACGTCTCAGTGTGGACAGAGAACAAGAAGATATGGATCCCGTACCGCGAGCTGCAAAAGCCGGACCTTGTAACAGAGTCTGCCGAGACGAACGGGACTAGCAAAGATAAGACAAGGTCGGCGGTCATTGAATCGGAAAAGTTCATCCTACCAAACTCTGCAGTCCTGTGTCTGAATGGAACAGGGAACTTTTTGCACCTGACTGCAGGCATACCGTCAATGGCTACAGACGTGGCGTCTTCGTTAATTGCGTATCTCCAACTGTTCAATTCTCGATGTACGCAGTTGATTCTCGGCGCAGGTGCGACGCGTTCTGCAGGCTTGAAGAATATCACCACAAAGCATTTGGCTCTTGCGTCCCAGGCACTGTCATTCATAGCCACACTCATTCCTCACATCCGAGAGTTTGTACGAAGCCACGCCGGATCTGGAGCTGGAGTCTCCAGCTTGACGGGAGAGTTTGACAAGGTCCGCCGTTTGTTACAAGAACACCAAGGCAGCATCCACCAAAAGTTGGTTGACATCATGAGCGGTCGTGCAGCGATTCACGCCAAGAGCATGAGAGCTATTGACTGGGATTCGGCCAGGCCAGATGTGGTGCAGCCATATATTGAAATTCTTGTTAAGGAGACGACCACGCTACACCGTGTTCTCACCAAACATCTTCCAGAGACGTCAACTCAGGTGATCATGGGGCCTGTTTTCGCGAGCTACAAAGACCAGCTGGGGGCCCCTCTCGGAGAAGCTGCTCCCAGAACAGAAGCTGGGTCGCAAAGGTGAGTCATTTTCACGGGCGAGGTTGCACGTTCTCATATGGAACATGTTGAACTAACACAACCCAGCATGCTGCGAGATGTGGAGTTCTTCTCATCACGGCTGGGGAAGATTAATGGTTTTGGGGACACTGGAGATTTTCTTGCCAATATTGTCAAGTCCAAAGAAGTGAAACCGAAGACGCCAGAGCCAGCGGAAGAGGCTGCGGAACCAGACATCAAGGACAAGACAGAAGACGGCAAGAAGACGGATACAGACCCTGCGGCGGAGACTGGTGAGGAGAGTGTAGATACAAAGGAAGGGAGCAAAGATGAGAGTGTGTCGGAGCGGAGCGACAAGGAGCCCAAGGACTAGCTCGGGACACAAGTGTTACCTAGGCGGGCAGAAAACTACTGCCGAGACATGTTGTACGGTGGAGAGTTTCCCGGGCCTTGAACACTTGCCGTAGACTTGGCTCCTCAACTCCTCCACTGCCTCCATTTCTCGCGGAGCAACCTGTTGAAACGCAATGGATGTGCCCATGTCGAGCACGACGGGCGAGTCAACCTCTATTTCATTGCGTGGCCTGACAAGACATATATTGAGGAGCTGAACTCCGGTGCCCGTCTGTCTGTTCAACGTGCCTGGCACGTTCCGCAACGGACTGTGTTGATGCCAGATGGAACAAGAGGCAGCCTACCTCTGCGGCAACATGTCGAGGCGCATGTTGGCCGCCACGTCCCTCTCCCGTTGCTGGCCTCGCCAAGACGGTCCGCAGTGGACAAGAGGCTCCGTGTCTCGTGCGCAACCCCCAGCGCCCGCCAACGAGTAGTTGCTGCATGGGCCTGGCTCGGCGAGTCTGATCGAGGCGTCCGATTCTTTCGGCCGCCGGCGGCTGAACCGGTCGTTGGGGCGCACCGGCGGCGGCGTCGTCGAGGCGTCGCGAGGGGAGCGTCTCGGCACGGGACGCAGATTCAGTTTCGTCACCGCAAGCACCGTCTCTCGACCTACGCACCACCGTCGTGGGATTGATTCATTGCCCCCGCCACGGTCCACGGATCCCCTCCCTTCTCGGCGCAATCTGCTCGTCATGGTGGCGCGCGAGCACGTTCGGACGCACACTGGTCGGCGAGCAGTCCGCGAGCTGCGCAGCTCATCCCGCCGTACTCCGTAATACCGAGCACGTATAAACTGTGATACGGTAAAGACGCCCCCCTCCGCTGACTAGCCAAAGCGTGGGGGGGAAAAGGAGGCCATCGTCTCCGTGGCATTGCAGTGCAACACGGCCATCAGGCCTGAGTCTAGTGATGAACGTGGCTAAACCAGGAGCATTGCATTGCAGGTCGGTCATGCGTAGAGACTAGAAAGTACTTGGTGTGCCATAAATAAATCTATACCAGACATTTTCACGTCTTAAGCCAACCGCCGCGCTCCCATGCACGCATGCCATCTGTCACATTAAGCTGTCTTGCCCTCCTTCCGCCGCCGTACAACCAGCGGACAGCGGCATCCTACTTGGTTCGCTTGTAGATCTTGTTGAGGAACACGTCAAAGACGGCCTTTTTCAGGCCCTCGCTCTCGTCAATCATGTCGATCATGGCGCGGATCTCGCCTGCTCTCTTTTCCTCAAACGCCTCGTAGCGCTCCTTGAGCTTCATGTCGCTGTACAGCTTCTTGACGACGGCCTCGCTGGCGCTGTCCTTTTGGCCGTAGTTGTCCTCCAGGATCTTGCGCTGATCGGGCGTGGCAATCTCCAGCGCCTGGTTGACCAGCCACGAGCACTTGTTGTCCATGATGTCGGTGCCGATCTTGCCAATGTGCTCGGGGAGACCAAAGTTGTCGAGGTAGTCGTCCTGGATCTGGAAGTACTCGCCGATGGCGATGAGAATGTCCTCGGCCTGCTTGAGGTTCTTGGGCGTGGCGAGATTGAGCTGGTGCAGGGCCAGGGCGACGGGCAGGTAGAAGGAGTAGTAGGCCGTCTTGTAGATGACGATGAACCTGTACTTGGTCATGGAGAAGTTGTCGAGGTTGACCTTGCCCTCCGGGGCGGTGAGCAGGTCGCACAGCTGACCCAGTTCCGTCTGCAGCGTCGTCTCGTGGAAGAGCTCGACAATGTCCACGTAGGCCGGGTGGCTGCGGAAGTATTTCCTGAGGAGCATGTAGATGGTCGACTCGAGGATGAAGGCGTCGTTGATGGCGACCATGCCGACGCCCTCTTGGCGGTACCAGCAGGGCTTGCCGCGGCGCGTGATGCTGCCGTCCATGATGTCGTCCGAGACGAGGAAGAAGGCCTGCAGGAGCTCCGTCATCCAGCCGAGGGTGGCTGCTTGGAAGTATTGCTCCTCATCGAGGGGGCGGCCGAGGAGGAGGGAGACCGAGTCGGGGACGGACATGCCGCGGTTGCATTTTCCACCGACGGGGTTGGTTTCGAGGTTCTGCATGCTCGGTTAGAATCTCCAATCTCCGTCGACAAAGGGGCTGTGAAGAGCAAACCAGATCTAGACCCGTCTCTGACCTGGGTGCTGTCACAAAGGAGTACAACACGGCACAATCAACAGATGGATGAAGAATGACGGGGGAAAGAAACGCGCGCATCTGAGATACTCACAGCCTTGAGCCAGTCGAGCTCCGCTTGGGGAAGCTTGTACTTGCGCGCATGTTCCAAAACGGCTTGTTCGAGCTTGGGGTACACGGCCTCGAACTCTTTGAGCGTCGTCTCTTGCGCCATGACGAAGGATTTCAGGCTGGGCCGTCAATCTTCAGTGCGGCAATTAAAATCAATCACGCGTCCAAGGCGATAAACAACAAAAAAAAAAAAGGTTGGGCTTCAGACCAAAAGAAAATGCAACGCCGAGATCAAACGAAGGCGTTATTGGTCGGGAAGTCGGGTAGAAAGTGGGGCGGGAAATCACGGAAACCAGATCGGGTTGCTCGGGCACCAGCCACAGCTGAGCCACAATCTTGTTGCTTTGTACTTCCTCTTCGGGCACCAAGGTTTGCCCAGTCGCGATGTCGCGACCCACGACGCGGCGAGTCAGGCCAAGTGGAAGAAGCCCCCACCCACCCCCGGCGACTGGATCAGGCATCGTTGGATCGACACCCCCGACGGCTTGGCTTGGGCTCCACTCAAACGCCACGCAGCGCCACCACCTCCGTTCACATTCACACACACATTCATGACTAGTCACAAATCCAGACACGGTTTGGTCCATCCTCTGAGAGTGGCATCGTAAGATGAGAGGCCTTCTATTCATATCCAACCTTGCACTTTTCCCACGGGGTATATAAGTCGTTCCTGACTGTGTGTCAAATGTCTTGAGAAGAAAAAAAGGGGGAAGGGAAGGGGGGGGTTTCTTTGGGGGTGAAGAAAGAAAAAATAAACGTCGTTAATGAAAGTAGAGAAGTACGACACAAAATATGTATAAAACGAATGGGCGGCTTGTGTCTCGTCTTTTTAAACCTGCATTCGAGGCATAAGCCGACGAAGCACTCAAGCCCGTGGTGACACGAACGCAAAGGCAGAGGAGAATGTCGTCGACTCGTCACCATCCCACTTCCACTCCGTGTCCTCGAGAAGGATTTTTAATTTTAATTTTTGCCATTTCCATTTTCCGCCTCATACATAGAATCATGGATGTCTGCTTTTTTTCCCCTTCTGGCGCCCAGCGCCTTCTCGCGGGACAGAGTGGTTGGAACGTCAAGATTTCGACAACATCCGTCGCCTCCCCTGGGAAGCAATAGCTCGGCGGTTTTGCCGAGACCAAAGAACAAATAACAGGTGGACTTTGGTCAGTTGGCTTGTTTTTAAATGAGGGGACTGGTACCTGTGCCAAGACTGCACTTCAGGTCGACCTCGTCGGTGACCTTGGTCTGGACGTCGTCGGGGAGGTAGTAGGCGTCGTTGCAAGGGAACTTGTGGCAGCCAGACGTGGGAGACTTTTTATTGGCGGGCCACATCTGCTTGATGTTTTCCTTGTCGTCGGGATTCACGATGGCGGAGACATCGAAGTAGGTCAGGCCATTCCAACCGCCGAACCTCACTTCACCGAGCATGCCGGGTTTTGCATCCTGGCCCTTCTGGTGGGCGAAAAAATTGCCCTCCCAAGAATCGGGAAACTGGACAGTCTTGTTCTGAAAGTTGTCAATGGCCAAGGTTTCGATATTGTCAGACCCAGGGCTGGGGGTGAAGATGACTGATCGGCTCAAGCCATCGGTGTTCACAAAGGTGACGCTGGCGGCGCTGGCAGCAGCAGCAGAGGCAAGGAGGCCCAGGGCAGTGGTGGCGAAATGCATTTTGGCTTCGAGTCGGCTTTGTCGTTGTTTTGTTGCAGCTTCGTTTGGAAGAAGGACTGTGTTGGTTTTCTGAAGAACTCGCCTCAGAAGATGTATTGTGCTGTGCTGTGCTGTGCTGTTCAAGGGATTGAAGTTGTCGAGACACGGAACCTGGCCGTTGTATCGGTTGCTTGCAAGGAGTGTAGCTCGAAGCTGTCTGACGAGGGATGAGCCTCGGGAATGAGTGTGAGTCCGAAGACTGAAGACGAAAACAAGTCGATGAAAGGATGGTATGGATGGTGATATGGGAGACTCCAACATGTCCAGGCTGTCAACAGGGGGGGATGCCTGCTTTATACATGGCGGCGCCCTCTCAACGGCGGCATGGCGGAACACGGCCGCCAGGTGCGGAGTACCAGACCGACTTTACCTGACAAAGAATAAATGACAATGCCCTTTGTTTGTTTCATAGGCCCACGCCAAGAAAAGCCAGGACAAGGCCGCGCTGAGTTGTACGTACATACAGGAAGGACCCTGGGGGAAGACGAGGGAGGGGCGTGGCGGACAGACGAGATAACTCTAACTGAGATGTACATGCAGTACAATGCAATGTGCCTAGTTCACACGGCCTGAGTGAAATGCGCTGGCAGGGCAGCCGCATCACGTCTGCGCCACATGGTCAGAGGCTACTGACTGTGTCGTATGGGATATGTATGATTTCGTGGCACAACTCCGTACTCGGGACTCGGCTCTCGGTCCGTGGACAACTACTACTATCATGTATTACTGGTGTAAAGGGGCCAAGCCCAGGCACCCACCCACACCCACGGAGTAGGAGTAGGGCGTGTCTGGACCATGACTTGTGACTTGCTGCAGCCCAAACTATCTTGGGGATAGGATAATTGCGTGGCCGCCTGCCACCGCCACCGCCAGGAACAGAGTTTTCAAGCATTGAACTTGTGCCCTAGAGCTTGGCTCGGTGACACTTGGATTCGCATCAGATCGAGCACGGAGGTACCGAGAGCCGAGTTAGTTCCAGGGACGCCGTACACATGCCCGATACAGTCCATGAGCCCGTCGTTCGAGAGCGAGTAGTCGGTACCTGCCAAGCCCGTGGGCGTCTGCAGGCAGACTTGCTTGCTCCATACGGGCAGCAGCACCGCTGCTACCACGGAGTCTTCCGTGCCGAAACAGAGAGATGGTACGGAGTACGGAGTAGCGCGACAAGTCGTCCTCTGTGCGCATGGCATTGCGGCAAGCCGGGTTGTTTCAACTTGTGCGGTTGTGCGGCCGTGCGGTTGCGCGGTTGTGCGGTTGCGTGGCGCGCGTTCCTGACCCGGCGGACGAACCAGGGGGACGTTAAAGTCACGCCAAGCCAAACAGAATGGCGGCGCGCAACAGAGTAAGCCGCCAAGTACAGAGTACCTCCGTGCTAGACGACTAAGGTATGTATGTACTCCGTACAGTGCACCGCTGCAGCAATCAAGTGGACGCTACTCCGTACAAGCCCGACCAATGACCGCCGCCAGTCGGCTTTTTTTGGCCCGTCAGGAAGCGGACGGACCGGGGGGGTTTGAGCGTAGGCACGAACGAACCCCGGCACGGAGTATGCAGCACGGAGTACATGGGTAACTACTTTATACATACGGCGAGCGCTCGTTCTGTTCTGTTTTGACACCCGTCAGTTGGTGTAGTGTGGGGACTCGCTCACATGTTTGTGTCTGTGTACTCGATGCTTGCTCGGCTTCACTTCCGTCTCTGCGTTGTCCCAGCCCAGCCCAGCCGGTCAGTCCACTTTGCTCCGACGTCCCACGGCCATGTGCAATACCTGCGATACCTACTCCCAATGCGCAGCCTCATGCGAGGAGTCGGGACAATCCTGTGTGTGCAGGCTCGCCTCATCCCCGTCCTTCAGCCTGTCGTGGCGCAGGCCCCGGACCCAGGCACAATCTCGAGCCATGGCTTGATCCATGACCAAATATCCACGGCCCAGACTGTCCAAAAAGCCTCCCCCTGCCGGGTACTCGAGGACAGCACACGTAGCGTCCCATCCTGGCCGACGGCCAAGATGAACGAGGCTACAGATCGAAGCTAGATGTACGATGCTACATAGTCCCCTCCCTGTTCCCTGGAGATCACTTCATAGCCCGCATGGGCAAAGTGCGGTTACGGATAGGTTCCAGACGCCATCAGGCCAAGGCTATCGAGTACTTGCACCCACTCCGTACTCCGCACATGGCCAGGAACATCGTAGTACGTAGTATGTATGCCAAAGGCTAACTAACGGTGGTGCCAAACCAATGACATGGCTCGCGAGACACACTTGTTTTCGCGAGATTCTTGTCCTGGTTTCGCGGACCGCCACAGCCACAGCACCACCACAACACCCATTCCGTGTCACGTCTGACAACCACTGTTCTGTCTGTCTCGTCTCGCGGGCCGTCGGATGCATGTACTGCCGCGGGGTCAAAAGAACGCTGTGGATAGTCGGGAACGCATAATCATGGCTTGTACTCCGTAGCTTTTCGAGTCCTTGCAGCCGGAGTCTCGAGGCCCCAAAGAGCCGGGCCACTACGCACGCAGTGCAGCGCAGCGCAGATGCTCTCATGTTTGGCCCACGTCGAGGAGCCAGAGCAGCATCCTCGCTGCTATTCGTTGCGAGGACGCGCACGCCATTTTTACGCTTCTTACTCGCATGTTGATTGGGCTTCGGAAAACCAAGCGCCGTGGCTCTTGTGCTCGGTACGAGGGGGGT